ATCCTTCTATAGATCATTGTCATTAATAATATCTGTAAATAGTGTCCCAGGGAACACTTATGTTACCTTTGTTTTAAAGATTTTTATAACTCCTGCCCCTCCTTGTTGAGATAGAATATCCGAGATAAGTAAAAGTAATTGAATCACCTTTTCTCAGTTAAATTTTGGTAATCTGGAGGAACACATGTCCCTAATCAACAAGTCCAGTTTTTTCAGCTTCTGTACAGGTGATTTCTGCATGATTTTCATTGTCTTAAAAATAAAATGAACAGTGACATTCTTTCTAGAGATGTTGTTTTCAGTAGTCCAGCATTTTTTTTTTTGATGATTATAAGAGCCAAAGAGCATATTTTAGTTTGCCTAATATGTCATGGACCTTAGGCGTTCAAGTGCCATATTTTGAAGGAACATTTTATGTTAAGGAGTTTAGGTATAGGAAATGGAGAGTCATTAAGAATTTTTAGATAGAAAGAAAGTCTGGATTACAGTGGAGCAAATGTGCAACTGAATGGTGGTAAGGAAGTCGGCCAAGAGGTTTATTGATAGATGGCAGAGGTTTAAATGAAGTCAGCAGCAGACTTATGAATGAAAGGGAGAACAGAGTCAAAAAAGAAATTTTTTTTAAAAAGTAGACTTGAGGTAGGGAAATAAGAAGTCAGGGATGATTTCAAAGTTTCTAACTTGGTGAATAGAGATGACTCCAGCTGATGTGGGAGGCCAAAACAACAAGACTGGTTTGCAATTTGGGAAGCCTGTTGAAGAATTCAGATGGTGATAATGGAAATAGAGATTGTGAAAATAGAGGTGGGAAAACTAATTCTGATGTTTTATCTTCATTTCTTTGTCTTTTGATTCCCTGGACCCAAGCAACCACTGAGGAAGATAAAATCCTAAAGAATACCAAGACTTAATGGGGAGAAATGGTAGGTTAACAGTGCAAAGACTTGAGTAGAGGGGCTGTAGGTAGATGAGAGACTCAAGAGCAGGTCATGAGAAGTGTCATTTTTCTCTTACTTGAATGAGGTTTTTGTTTGTTTTTTGAGAAATAATGTCTGACAGCATATTGCAGATGGCTTGGCGTATTGTAATAGATGCTCCGTAAGTGCTTGAATGAGTGAATGAGTGAAGTCAGACAAATATAAGTCACAGAGTATGGCACAAAATAGTATATATTGTATATCAGTTACCTTTTAACCATTTAGTTTTATCTTTAGGTTAGTTATAAAATTTAAAAATACACTAACATGTATAGACACATGCATGTTTTTTCGGGATATCTCAACTTGAATTTCACTTTTTAGTCTGCTTATACTCCCATAAATATTGGGTGTGAGGGGTGGGAGAAATCTTTCACCTGGTAATAAATACTTCAGGGTTTTTTTGACAAATCAAATGTGAATATGCTTTTTTAAATTGACTTTTTAAAAGCCTTTATCTGAACATTAAACATTTTTTTTTCTTTTTGCTTGCTCACTACTTTCAATAAATATATGCTCACTATTTTCAGTAGGATCAAATTAGGAAAACTTTGGCATTTCCCTCATGTTTTGTGTGTTACAGTGGATCTGAATCTACCTTATTCCTTRCCTATTTGCCACTGCCTCTCATGATTTGGGATTGTTCTCTCAATGGGCATTTGTTGCCATCCTAGTCAGAGGAATATCTCTGATAGTTAAATGTAAGGAAGAGAAAAAATGGTCTTGTATGCTGGTGAGGATGCAGAGGGAAAAATGCTTTGTAAAGAATGAAATGTTAATCCCTGGAATAATTTATTGGAAGACCTGTAAAGTCAGGAAAAAAATGTTCTAAATCTCATTCTACAGAACATGCTGAATCTCTTCATCTTACTTATCAACCTCCTTATTGATTTTTTTCCTACTATTCTTTATACCTTTTGTGTTTCTATTGATGGCCACTTTTTCCCTTTATTTCTCTGATTTGTTCTCTTTTTCTTTCTTCAGTATGGATAATTAGCTATAATATAAAGTTGAAGTTTTTTAGTTTTATTTAGAGTAAATATATTTTCATAGTTAAAAACTCAATTGAGATTGACATCTTTATGTTCAAAGTAATTTCATAGTTTTTACATTCATTTAATAACTGATTTTTGGTGATTCAGTGATCCTTCAGGAAATGGATTTTCTTTTCTGGGAGCATTCAAAAAATAAATCATGTAGCATTTGCTTAGGGATTTGAACCAGCCATTGTGCAATTCTTCCTTTTCCCCTTTCCCATTATTTTTATTTCATTCATTGAAATATTTATATATTATTGAAATATTAATTTATTATATGATTTTCAACTTTTTGGAAAGAAGGTATGAAGTAACCATGAGGAAAAATCATAGAAAAATAGTTTATCTAAAATAAAACCATTTATTTTACTGTTTTTGATATAAAATTCAAAATTTTAATGAGTTGTCTTTGGCATTCTCTGTGAAATTATACTGGAATATCACATAAAATTTAGGAAGGTCTTTTCCTGATTTGGGGACTTCCCTTTGACTTTTATGTATGATTCTCCTTACTTTTCTCCATCAAATTCAACTTAACAAAAGTATAGAAAAAGTAAGTATTTAAGAGCAGGCATCAGGACACCTGGGTTCTAGACCAGTTTATATAACTTTRTTCAAATTGTTTATTTGGTCAGAAAAATTTGAACAAAGTTTATCATTTGGTTTCTTTTGGTGTTCACAGTCTCTGAAAGTCAAATCTGATCTACTTTCTTTCTTTCTTTTGGTACTGGGGATTGATCAGGGGCACTCAACCATTGAACCACATCCCTAGCCCTATTTTGTATTTTATTTAGAGACAGGGTCTCACTGAGTTGCTTAGAGTTGCTTAGCGCCCTGCTTTTGCTGAGGCTAACTTTGAACTTTTGATCCTCCTGCCTCAGCGTCCCAAGCTGCTGGAATTAAAGGCAGGTGCTGCTGCCCCAGGCTGATCTACTTTCAACCAAATACTTCATTCTGAGCACTTTTCAAGATCAAGACTATTCTGTATACTAAATTTTTATTGCTTTTTAGTATAAAGAGTAAATAGTAGTATTTACTATTGAATAGTGATATTGTGAACTTTGATAATGTTACCGAAATTCTAAAGATGTTTGCTGTTTTTTATATGGAAATTATAATGTCTACCTTGCAAGGTGAATGTGAAAATTAAATTAGATGTGAATATACTTTAAAAATGTATAGTCTAGGTATTCCATAACACTATTGAGTTTTCTTACAATTTTATATGACTAGGTAGATTTAACAGTCACAGGCCTAACATATGAAAAGATGTTAAGTGTATGAATTGTATTAATAAAGCACCTTTTTGTGGTAATTGCACTGTAAGTGAACACAAGGATGTTTACATAGATTTATTTTTTGAGCAGGAATTAAATTTCTATTTGGCTTCTTTAACTTGGTTAAAGAAATAATAACATTGTTGTTTGGTCTTACTAGTTGCTTTGTTAAGCATCTTATTTTTTAGTCATTAAGAAATGTGTTCCAAGTGAAATTTATATAAATAAATCATTCTATGGAATTGTTTTTGCCTTTTGGTATTATATTCATGTTTGGAAACATGACTATCTAAATAGGAGTTAAATATATATACTAGATATGAATGGTACACTGTTAYATAGGAGTAGCAAATTTAATAGATAAGTCATATGAAAAGTACCTAAAAAGACTCCTGGGGCTTATGGTAATCTGATTTTTGGCACTTTATATATTTAGTGTTTTATGATCCATTCATCACTTTTAAAATATGTCATAATAATATCAAGTATGTAAAATTCTATGGCTATTTTATTCTGAGTGGAATAGATTTAAAGGTCAACACTACTCTCTTATGTAGGTTATGGGTGCTACATGTGTGCTTTCAAAGCAGTAGTGTGAGGAAACTTGAAGTGGGATGGCAGGACGGCCTCATCCCTATGACAGTAACTCCAGTGATCCAGAGAATTGGGATCGGAAATTGCATAGTAGACCTCGTAAACTTTATAAACATTCAAGGTAGGTAGAAAATATGTATTTCACATATCAAAGCTCTGCTAAAACTGATTATAAAGACTACTACTGCATTTGGTTGTGGCAAGTCCTGTCAGAGTATGGGGAATGGTTTACAAAATATTGTGCATGTTTATATTTCTCCTTAATTAGCTTACAGAGAAACAGTTCTTTCTTTTTAAGTTTTTATATTCATATTTGTTTTAAGATTTATTTCTATCTCTAAATTATGTTAAAATCTTAGTTGACTCCATGATCGAGTATTATAATTGGCTTAATTGGAATCTCTGGCAAAACCAGTTAGTTCTTTGTATTTTAAAATCTATAGGAATTTATTTTGTATTCTAAGTTTATTATATGTTCAGATTACACATGATAATTTATAGATTTATGTCAGTGTTTTCCTCAATACATTTGTAACTGTATGAATTTATATTATGCTGCCATACTGATCCTAATGGGAAAATCGRTCTTTTTTGGAGTGACCATTCTGGTTCATTTAAAGTTTGATGCATGAAATGAAATTCATTTCAAAAGTTTCTGCTTATCTATATGTTTTTTTTAAAACTATCATTTTGTGCTGTGAGACTAAATGAGGAATACCTCATTTACAATACTTTGTGATCTGAAATTTTAGGATATTAATTGACAGCTTATAAACCTCACATATTACAGGTATGTAAGCATGTTTTCATAGAGGATTTTGCTGGGTGAATATTGCTTAGAGGATATTATTGAATATTTAACTAACTAGAATATAAAATTCTCCTGATGACTGATAAAAAATACTAGCTTTCTTGAAAAAAACATGCCATGATATTGAAATCTGTTTTGTAATTTTTAAGAAATACTTTAGGTACTTTTAAACTGTGTATTACAGCTAAGCAACATGAGTGATTGATACTTTTAAGTCCCCTGGCAAGAAGTTCACTGAAATTGCAGACTTTTAATGGGATAAGATCGTAAAATGTTAATGTGAAGTTGACTTTATTAACTTATAATTACATGCCAAATGATGTCAAAGTTTTTTGTTTTGTTTATAGTTAGTGAGTATACGTGTGTTCTCCAAATGGGGCATTAGTTCTTTTTCTCTGTTTCATGGATAATTACTTAGTCTTTGAGATTAAAGAGGCATTGGATTGTGTGAGGTTATATTTTTATCTACTCTTGTGTGTTTATTATACAGGTGAATTGTATATTATCCTTCCTAATTCACAATATTTTTCTGCTCATGTATACAGTGCTACATTATATACTAAAGAGGTGATGAGGGTGGAAGTAAGCCATTGTTTGCTTTATAAAAGCTACATGCATACAGTGGGAAAAACGTTTTAAAACTTTCAGTGCTTTTTCCATTGCTGTTTGATTTCAGTAACAAATACAGTTCTTCTTGGTAGTTGTAGCATTGGTAAATTAATTAATCAATTTCTTCCCTCGCTCCCTCCCTCCCTCCCGTACAGTGCTAGGGATTGAACCCAGGGCCTTGTATATGCTAGGCAGGTTGTCTACCACTGAGCTACATCCTCAGCCTTTCATTAATTTTTTAATCCTTTCGTAAGGCAGGCTGCATTAATATTTAGGGTTGTTTGAATGAAAAACATTAAAGGGAAATTAAACATATCAGTAAATTGATATTAAAAATTATCTTATGTAAAAACCATGAAGTTCTTTGAGATTACTTTAAACCTAATTTGTAAAAAAAATCTGCCCCAAAAGAACAGCTTATTTTTAGAGACCTCTTGTCCCTATGCATTTAGAAACATAGGATACTTGGAAGTATGGTTTGACTTTTAAAAAAATTTTACTTTGGGAGTTTATTTAGTTACTAATTTACTTTTATGGTGCTGGGGAACAAGCCCAGGGCCTYCTGCATACAATGCAAACACTCTTACCACTGAGCTACATCCCTAGTCCCCAGAATATTTACTTACTTACTTGTGTATTTATTTATTCCTTCCCTCTCTCTCCCTCCTTCTATACCTGTAATAGAAGAATCCTGGGGGCACTCTCCCATTGATCAACTCCTTATCTATCTATCTATCTATCTATCTATCTATCTATCTATCTATCTATCTATCTATCTGTCTATCTATCTAGACAGGGTCTTGCTAAAAAGTTGCTGAGGCTGACCTCAAACTTTTGATCCTCCTGCCTCAGCCTTCAGAGTTGCTGGGATTTCAGGTGTGCACTACCTACCTGCTGGAAGTTGATAATAAACTGATTGACTAAGAGGTTTTAAAAAACAAACATTAGCAAATTTTTATTGAGAATCTTCCCTTAGTTTAGGAGAAATTTTAAAGAATATGAGGGTACTGCTTGGAAATGCTTTAATATTCACATACGGAACAATTAGAGTACTCAAACTAATTAAATAGTGGTATTGAGTTGTAAAGTTCAGAGAATGAATCAGTATCAAAAATAAGGCTTGAGGGCTGGGGTTGTGGCTCAGTGGTAGAGGGCTTGCCTAGTGTGAGGCCCTGGGTTCGAATCTCAGCACTACATATAAATAAATGAATAAAATAAAGGTCCATCAACATCTAAAATAAATTAAAAAAAATAAGGCTTGAGAAAATCCTAAGGTGATTAGAGTATTAATTATTAAGGTAGATGGAGGAAATTTCTGCCAGGGACCTTCAGGAGATTACTTTGACCAGATCTGAAAGTAGAGCTCTGGATATTATTATTGTCTCCATTTGGCAGATAAAAACAGTTAGGCTAATATCCTTGACCAAGGCCACTGAACTTATAAATGGCATAGCTGGAATTTATAAAAAAGCTTCTTTCTCAATTTTTAAATAATTTATCATAATCTACTAGGTATAATGAATCCCTGTTACCCATTACCCAGCTTGAAGGTACCAACTTGTGGCCGATTTTGTTTTATTTGTGCATCTACCTACTTTTTTGAATATTATGGATTTTATTTAGGGATGTTTGTAAAAGAAAACCAGACTAAACGTTGGCCTAAGTTGGGGATTTAGTTTTTTGTACCTAAAAAATCTAGAGGTAGGTGATGGCTGAGTATTTTTAATTGCTTTAGGATATATCAGGATTAAAAATCTCTGCTTTGCTTGGCTTTTCTCTTATAGTCACAAGGTGGATATTATAGCTCTAGTCATCATGTCTACCTTCTAGACAAGAAAAAAGGGAAAAGGAGCAGTTGGAAAGGGATTCATTTATATCAGGAAATTMAATTTCTTGAGATTTTCTAGCAGTTATCTACTTAATCATTAACTAGAGCTATGTCCTGTGGTCATTTCTGGATAAGGGAGACTGAGAATGTTAGTTTTTAAGCTGGACTTATTGCTATCTCAAACAATTGGGGATTTAAATTTACAAATAAGTGAGCATAGTTTTCTTTATTGTCTCAATATTGTAGATAATCTAAAAATCATCTTGTTTAAATATGTATTTCATTTATATGTATTTTTGAATAGCCTTATTTTTTCAGTGTCTTAGTTTTGATTTTTTCCCCCTCTTTCCTTGTTGGGTGTGATAAAAATAAACTTTCTGATTTACAAAAGTAATAGTAATGGTTGCAGTCTTTTCTGTTCTGACTGTTGCCATCTGAGGTTTGTAGGTATTGACTTTATAATTTCCATCTAATACAATTTTAAGGTACTTTATTCTCTGAACTTTCTTTTGACTATAGATTTGTGTATGTGTGTGTGTTTAGGATTGAACCCAGGAATGCTTAACCACTAAGCTACATTCTTATCCTTTTTTATTTTGAGACAGCTAAGTTGCTTAGGGCCTTGCTGAGTTGCTGAGGCTGACTTTGAACTTGCCATCCTCCTGTCTCAGCATCCTGAGCTGCTAGGATTACAGGTGTGCACCACTGCACCCAACTTGAATATAGATTTGTCTAGCACTCTGATATAAAAGATAGAGAAAGCTGTTCTGGACATAGATAGACTTCAGGTGCTGGGGTATCTCTTCAGGTGGTATATTACTTAAAAATCAGTGAACTTTGTTTCTGTGTGAGTAGTTGTATAGTTAATATCTACATAGAAGGGTTTGGTAATAGCTAAAGATGTTAAAAAGTCATTTTGGTTGAGGTATATTTGGTCTAATTATGACATTTTTCCCTTTTATTTATGAGTTAGAGGAATCTTTGTGTTGGAGGGGTGGTGAGTAGGGGGTGGGATCCTGGGGATTGAACCCAGGGTCTTGGGTATGGTAGGCAAGTTTCTACCATTGAGCTACATCCCCAGCCCTTTTTATTTTATTTTGAGGCAAAGTGTTAAGTTGCTAGATTGGCCTCCAAGTTGTGATTCTCCTTCCTCAGCCTTCAAAGTAGCTGGGATTACAGGCGTGTGCACCTGAATTAGAGGAGGTTTTGCTATTTTAAAAAAGAAAATGAGTACCTCTTCTGTATAATGTGTATAGCAAGAATATATGCTGAAGGCTTTTGAATATTTGAGTTGGGCAGAATGACTATATAAAACTCTGATCTGCAGTCTGCTCAGGTTGCTAAAGATAAATGCATCGTACATTCAATATCAGACTTTGCCGCAAGGTTTCATTCCCCAGAAGTACGCATGCTCATTTCTTCTGAGCTTTCCATTTTCCCTTTTAAATCACTTCAGCAGCAGTCTAAAAGGGAAAAGTTTGGTTGCTTAAAAGAATAGTTCTTGAGTGAATTCTTAAAGTGCAGACGATATTTTCCCTTTGGTTTTAAAGAAAAGCATTATTGACCAGAATGTATACACAAATATTGAAAGGAAAAAGGAAAGTTATCTGCATCCTAGTTTTCTAAAACCTGGCAAGCTGTCAGAGCTAGAATTAGCTTTACAGATGGCATTGGCAACATATCTACATATCTCTAAGCCCTCATCCCCTGCGTTTTCTTCACCTGTCTATCAGTTACAATATCCAATCACTGTTCAGAGATGGAGAAATGGGATGATCACAGCTCACACGATGCTGTTTGGTTAGAAACGTCAGTGCTGCACAACCCACGGCTGAGTCAGTGTCTGTGAGAAAATGAACTGAATTAATATAGA